AACGTTTGTTTTGATTTTTTTTACGTTACACCAGATCCTGATTTTTAATTGGCCAATTGATCTCGGAAAATCACGTGACCGGAAAATCGATCCTACGCCCTGGTGCTGTCGTATATAGTTACATATTTTGTATGGCCCCAATAGACGGTGGCATATTTTTTCGATGAATTTGCTAGTGAAACGTTACGTTCACAAAAAGGTCGTACGTATGTACGTGCGTACGGTACAGGAAATCGACCAATTTTACCGACCCATTTTTCAATTTCCTTATTTGGGTGATCTACATAAATTAACCAATCAAATTGGGTGATCTACATAAACTAACCAATCAAATCGTAAAATTTTTACGAAGCAAAAAAAAACAAAACTCAAAAATACAAGAAATGAGTGTCTAAACTTCTCTTGGGGCATTAACAAAAAATGTCGAGAGTGCAATTTTACCTGTAAACCTTGCCTAATCTCTAACCTCTAAACAACCCCAACCCTAATTTTAATTGCTTCGGTTTAGCATCCTTCCAAATAAGGAAATTTGAAAAATGGGTCGGTAAAATTGATCCAGGAAATCTAAAAATCTCAATTGCTTTATATAGAATAAAGATCAACTAATACGTACATTGGAGATATGCTAAATTCAGTAGCGACTTATTTCAGTATTTTAAGTTTCAGCCGTATGCATAAAATACTCCTATTAAGTACGTACATATTATTCTAGTAATATTATTTATATGCTCATCTCTCTATTGAGATTGATAATTAAGAAATTTATTTTCATGAGCTACTAGTTTATGCATTATCTTACATTATCTTAACATGAGATTGAGATTTTTAAATTTCCCACACCATGCATATTATTCTTTGGCGTATTATTTCTATGTAAAGAGATTGTGAAATTTCAATCCTTCACTTTATTGAGATTGAGAAAAAAAAAATTTTCAATGCGCTAGTTTATGCATTACTTCTATATAGAAGAAAGATTGTGGTTTTTAAATTTCCTGCACCGTACGTAAAACATGTAAATAAGTTACTCAGGCAATTGATGACTACTATAAAAACCGATTAATGAATATAACCGAATGAGCCAATAACATCTCTAATTGATTTACACCAGCCAATCAAGAAAACTTCTGTCTATGAATGGGCCCTAGCGTCACCAATTGCAGTGTATTATGTTACACTTAGGGTTGTGTTACGAAGTTACAATTTTACAATAGTGGATTTCAATAAATCAAATTCATGTAATTTTCATATGTTATATATAAGTACCGGTTATGATTCGAACTGCATTCCGAAAATTTGATCCACAAACTACGTACATGTCGATATCATTTGCTCAAAATTGATAATTTACTGGAATTTACTACAAATTTACACAAAATTTCTGTAATTTTATATGCCGATTTACGGTACATGCTGTAAAATTGGAATTCGTGTGACTACATCAAACAACTGGAGATGCTAAACCTTTAACGTATAAGGGTTACGTTAATTTTTTTTCTCTTTTTTAAGCGTGATATTGGAAAAAAAATAAATAAACTATTGCTATATCATTGTATATATTTAAGTTATGATTAACAAAACACATTCTATTATGGAACTTGAGAAGATAGGAAAAACAAATGATGAAATTTGCAAGATCAGTCAAAATCTTGTCATGGGCAAAAAATTAGTTGGGAATTTTAATTCCTTGACAGATCACCTAGAAATTTTGCGACAAATGAAATATGAACACTTTTTTGAATATCAGAAAACCATTAGAAATTATGAGAAGCTTTTATACAAGATTAAGATATTTGTAAAAAAGTTATCGAGCCTACAAGGATCTTTATTATTAGATTTCATGAAAGCTACTCGTATAAAAGAAGAATATATGAACTTAAAAAAGGAATATGAAACACAAGAAAGAGAATTGAATTCAATAATGTTTAACATGTTTAATACTACAAGAAAAGACAGAGAAAGTCAAACAGAAGATTTTATGAAGATTAATAAGGTAGTATTATATTCTAGGTTCCAGATATTTTCATGGCAGAACACCTGTACACTGTCATTATCATTTCTATGCATTGTTTTCGTCAAAATTTACGAGATCCTACAACAACATATTGCCGTATTATTGTCGATTAACAATATTGATATATACAGAAATACAACATATAATGTGGCAATGCCACAATCAGTAATTTATTATAATCGGAACATTGAAATCCATTTGAGTGTCAAGGGAAAATGAGATATCAGAAAACGTGATTAGGACATATAATGTATGATTGTAATTAAACCTAAATTAAATATATATATTACAACAGCTGGACCTAGTAAATAACACTGATAAATCTAAAAACTCGATGTCTCATTTTTCTTTGGCAGCACTCATATTATGCCAAATGAAATATCCGAAATCAAAAATTTACTGTTTTTTTATTAGCTGCACTCATTTAACCAAAAATTTACTTCTATTATGTAGATTTTGGAAGGCATTACGGATGATGAAAATCCCAAAATAAAACAAATTAAAGAAATAGTTCAGAAATATCTTTATTATGAGCCTTCCAGAATTCATTCAACTCTATTGACTGATCCTCCTTATGAAAACAACCTAAACAGTTATAGACGTGTAAAGAAGATATACAAAAATAGTATTGAAGTGGCTTGCGAACCATCTGCTGATTTCAAACAAAATATGTATTATATTTTAAAAGAAACATTTGAAAGTCCGAATATTCTTAAATTTTATGGATTTTCGGAAATTGATGGTTGTGAAATGTCGGTTTTTGAATGGGCAAGTTTGGGTAACTTAAAAGATGTTTATGAAAGTCAATCAAAAATTTCTTGGGATCGTAAAGTAAAAATAGCACTTGATATTTGTCGAGGTTTAAGGTTTTTGGATTTTATTAACGTTCTTCATCAAGATATAAGATGCGAAAATATTATGGTAAATCATTTTAAATTCAATCTTGGCTTCTGATTATAATACTATTATTAATACTCATCGTTTATTATAGATGACCCATCATATGGAACCAAAGATTGCAAATTTTCATCTTGCAAAAAAACTTTCAGATGTAAAGGTTAATAGCCAAGATGATAATCTGAAAATTTACAATTGGGCAGCTCCTGAAATGATGCAAAAATATGTACTATATACGCAAGAATGTGAAGTTTTCAGGTATATATTGTTATTATTGTTGTGCGTCAAATTAATAACTGCGTCAGGTTAAAATAATCGTAATCTCAAAACCTACTCTTACCCTAACATAGACTTTCATTCTAGCCTTACTAAAATTCAGTACATACTTAAATTTTGCAAAATTTAATTTGACGTACAAAATTATCATCATTACCATCATTACTATTGCATCAAATTAACGTTATTGATATTAATATGATATGCACTATTACTTAGTTTTGGAATGCTTTTATGGGAGTTAGCCTATCAAAAGATTCCTTATGAAGGAATGGATGAAAAGGAGATTATTACTCATGTTGTTCAAGGTGGTAGAGAAGATTTAAAACCTTCAGGTTCAAAAATTCAAAAAGAATTTATAAAAATTATTGAAAAGGGTAATTATATTAGCTTAATTATTTATACTATATTGTCGTGAAACAACATCCAAGGTATAATTGCAAATTATAGTTTGGATTAAACTTTATTTAAATAACGCGACTTTCTGCTATTTCTCTATTTCTGGATCTAAAAATAATTTTATTATTTAAAGGATGGGAGCATAAAGCTGAAAAGAGAATTAGTTTAGATATAATCCTTTCGAAACTTTCAGAATTAGACAGTATGTCCACCGACCAACCATCAAGCTTTGTAAAAGATCAAAACTTGATAGAAAATTTAAGTCATGGCTTGATTATTGATATAAAAAAAATACAACCATCAGATTCCTCAGCCTTTATCTTTGAAGACGACGAACCAAAAATCATTGAATTGCAAGCTAGAAAATTTGAAGCGAAATTAGCGTCTTCTTCAAAATATAAAGATTCCTTTTTGTTAGAAAATCATATAGATCAATCAACTATTGGTTCAGAAGATCTTAATTGGATAGGTGGCACAAATCCTCTAAACAACGAATCTCTTGTAAATGATATTTATATAGAAGTACAAAATCCACGAATTGAATTGGTTTTCAAAAAAGAGTCAATAAAACCAACCAAAAATCTAAAAGATAAGATTAAAAGTGCATTAGATCATCATAATCCCTATCGAGAATTAATGAAAGTATTTAGAGATTATGGACATCTTATACCCGAAAGAGTTATACTTGGACACAAATTGTATATAATGTCGCATTTAATCGCCGATGCAAGTGATGAATGGACGACTAATAACAAGTTAGATCCTATAAGTGATGAATGGATGACTAGTGAGGATTTTGAAACAAAATGTGTTGAATTTTTTAATCAATGGAAAACACACATGGAGCAACACTATTTTGATTCATCATATTTGATTTCAATCGATGGTGATATAGTTATGGTAAAGAATATTAAAACATGGGTAAATAATTGTTTAAAAGGTGGAAATAATTTTTTGCAAGTTATTAGCTGGAAAGGTTTATATCCACTATACGAAATATTTGAAAACCCTCTTCGCAAAGAAATCAAATTAATTCTTGGAAATGATGAACAAACAATTAATTCTGGAATTAAAGAAAAAGTTCTCATGACAGGAATAATCCAAACTCAAAATTCAATAACTTATTATCGAGTAAACTTTTCTAATCATCTTGAATCAAATGAATATAAAATTTTTGGAAAACTTATGACACATGATGGTATTCCAAATGATAATTATGTTGTTAAATTTAAATCTATGAATATGTATGGATTTTCGGCTATAATTGAGAGTTTTAACACCGATTGGTATGCATTTATTTTATTATTCCTGATCAACTTTAATTTCATTGCTAATTTTTCACTATTTTTAGCGTGGTGAATTTTGAAGACTTACAAATAACTTGGATATTAATCGGAATACCATCCGAAGTTGGTGCCTACAATTCAGATACACGAAATATTTCCATTTTGCGTCTCAAAAGCTGCGAGTTTAAGATTGATCCGAAAACAAGCTTCGATAATTGCAACGTTCGATTAAAAGTTCCCAAAAATCTGGAATTAGATTCGTTTCTTATTACATCATTTGCGCACCCTCGATTAAATTATGAGCCGTGCTTTATGGCTAAAATTAAAAATTATTATGAAGGTGAAATCGAAGTTAGTATTTACATTAAGGAGAATAAAACATTGAATAATAGCGATGATGAAGATATGAATAATGAACATACGCATGATGATGATCAATCTATTAAAACACCGAGTAATACAGATGACGACAGCTCTATCGATGAAATTTCTTCCGAATGTTTTCAATTAGAATGGGCCATTCTTTTAAAAAATGATAGGAAAGAATGTGATAAAATTGGCTCTGATTTAATTATGCCAATAAATCATTTAGAGGCAGTTGGTCAATGTGTATACTCGAAAGACTTAAATGCAATCTTCGAAAATATTACTCAAACTGAATTAGATTTAAGCTACAATAGACTTGATTCTGAAGTGGGAAAAGCTTTGGCAAATGCTTTAAAAACAAACAAAGTTACGGTCTGTCTAGACTTAAGTTATAATGATATTGATTTTGAAATGGGCAAGGCACTTGTAGGTGCCTTCATAACAAACACTACGCTCACTCGTCTAAATTTAAAATCAACTAGAATGAAGCCTGAAATGTTAATAGACCTGGCAAATGCATTAAACAATGACAAGCATCTTATTGAGCTTGATTTAAGCTATAATAAGTTTACTGAGGAAGCGGGAAATGCATTAGCAAAAGCTTTAGGAAATAATAACACGCTCAAAAACCTAAATTTATGTCACAATGACATTGATTCACGTATAGGAAAAACTTTGATAACTGCTTTAATAAAGAATAAAGCTCTTGTTAATTTGGATTTAAGCCACAATTATTTTGATACTGAGGTTATTAAGATCTTGGCGGAAGTTTTAGGATCAAATAATAACAAACTTAAAATCTTGAATTTAAGTTTTATTAATCTTGAGTTTCGAGCAGGAATGGTTTTAATAGAAGCATTAGAAAAAAATCAAACCCTTGAAGATTTAAACTTGAGTTCTACCAAAATTGGATCTATTTCAGTAAGGTTAATAGACCATTTAAATTCGCAGAGAACTTTTAGTGGCTTCAATACTAAGGACGATATCATTAATTGTGTAACGGCAAAGCATTTGGAAACAGCTTTAAAAAAGAACGCAACACTTACTAATCTAAATGTAAGTTCTAACAATATTAGTTCGGAAACAGGGAAAACGTTGGTAGACGCATTAAGACGAAACCATACTCTTAGGAATTTGAATTTAAGCAAAAATAATATTGGACCTGAAGCAGGAGAGATCTTAGTAGAGATTTTAAAAACAAATCATACTCTTACTAGTATAAATTTGGAATCAACAAGAATCGAGTCTAACGCAATAAAAGCTCTGGCACGAGAATTAAAAGATAATAATATTCGTCTTATTGATTTAAACTGGAGTTATAACGATATCAACTTCGAAGTAATTAAAGTTTTAGTTGAGGCTTTAGAAGAAAATACGACTCTCAAAAGCTTGGATTTGAGCCATAACTGTATTAATTTAGAAATTGGAAAAGAGTTAGCAAAATCTTTAAAGAAGAATAAAACTCTTAACAGTTTACTATTAATTCATTGTAATATTAGTTATGAAGTAATAAAGGCATTAAAAACAGCTTTAATGCATAATAAAGCTCTTACTCACTTAGATCTGAGTAGCAATAATATCAGTTTTGGTGCAGGGCTAATTTTGGCAGAAATTTTAAAAACTAATACTGCGCTTAAAAGCTTAAATCTAAGCTATAATGAATTGAATTTGGAATCAGAAGAAGCACTAGCACAAGCTTTAATAATAAATAAAACTCTTGCTAAACTAAGCCTAAAATCAACTATAATTGAACCTGGAACTGGAATGGCTTTAGCAAAAGCTTTAGAAATAAATAAAACGCTTATCAAATTAGATCTAAGCAACAATAATATTAGTTTTGAAGTAGGAATGGCTTTGGCTAAATCCCTGAGCGTTAATAATTTTCTTAAAAAGGTGGATTTAAGTTTTAACAAATTTGATTTAAGAACAAAACAAAATTTAAAAAAGATTTTAAAATTTAAAATTTTGAGTTTAAAAATAAAAATGTAAAAATTTTAAAATATTTTTATCATTTATTATAAAACGCACCTATGGTGTTTTGCACTTATTATATGTTTTTATTATGTTCTTAAAATTTTATAAGTTTTGTATATAAAATTTTAACCCAAATTTATTCACGTTAGGGTTAATTTTTAGGTTAAGGTTAGGCATAGACCATTTTTACTTAAAGCACTTACACCTATTAATTAGCTAGTTTTTGAGATAATATATACATAGGTGTAAAACACCATAGGTGCGTTTAGAAAAAATTATTGGTATTAAATTATTAAATATTTTAAAGCTTTTACTTTGTATATAAATTGTAAACAATTTAAATTATTATCGTACGGGTCTTATGTGACAACCCGTGCTTTTTTCGAAAGCTTATTTGCACGAGCCTACATGATTTTCGATTTTCATATAAACCCGTGCAAATTTTAAATGAATAAGGTAGCTGCGCAACGCAGTTGCGCTAAAACCAGGAACGGGATAGGTTCTGATGAATTGTATACTCACAGCTCCCTCGAATAGCTTAGGTTTTTATTATATAACTATAGAAGTTTAGTAGACAACAGAAAGTAATTCAAGCTTTAATATTAATGAGAAACTTAAAACATCGGGACAAGTCGTGATGTAACTAAATTATGGCATATTGTAAAATGTGTATATGCAGGTTGTAGTAACATATCAAGCCATATAGTAACTGTGCTATATGGCTGTTAATCGGTCCGACTAAAGCCCCCGGTCCTGCGGTCCGTTGTTATGCTCAATTTTGGTTTTTAGTTAGTATCGTTATTCTATTGTTATGTATTTCTTATTTTGGTATAGGTTGTGGCACAGCCAGGTGTTAATAACCCTTAACGAGGGACAACAACCTTCAACGAGGAACAATAACCCTCAGCGAGGGGTAATAACCCTCAGCGAGGAGTAATAACCCTCGGCGAGTGATTAAAACCCCGGTACGAATTAAAGATATATAAAGGTGTGGTTTTAGTTGGAAGGGAAAGGGAAGTTGTTCATAGTATTAGTATTGTTGTTAATAATCTGATGTATTGATTTATGTTAATAAAGAGAACCCTATAACCCGTAATTATGTGTGTTAGTTTATTGATTTAAACCATTTAACCTTAATCACTATTTGTTCACGATCGAAGCTAAATTTGTTCAAGATAGTTTATAGCTCTCCCCTGATCGTAACACCGTCTTAGGACCGGCCAGTCTGGTCTTTTTTAGGACGGACCAAAAGACTATCGGTCCTAATTGGCTGGAGCTGAGGGGAGTGAAGTGAAAGCCTTCAAGCTATACTCTACGAATTTTCGAAAATGTCCGGCTCC